AGCTAGATGGCCACTTGTTTGTCTTCAAGCCTTTAAGACCCCAGATGCTGTATCTTATGGTAGCCAGGCACCATCAGCTTTCTTCACCACCTTTGCTTATGTACTGTGAGTGATTTCTATTCATGTCTAATTTTAACTTGTAGAGACACTTACTATATTGTTAGTTTTCTGGTCAATTCTCCATTCTCTTTTAAAATTCAATCTTCCTTCAGCTGCTACAGGGAGCCTAATCTCTCTTTTGTTACTCCAAGTTTGAATGCATGGGTGCCCTTAATTCATACTCTAGGTAAAAGGTGTTTCATCATAAAAGCTCTTTACTCTCCCCCCAACCTTTTTTTTCTATCTGCACTAAATGCAGCAGTCTCAGTCAGGCATTTTGTACTTTAAATTTTATGATTCCTATTGGCGGATGAACTGGGGAAATGAAAACATATTCTAATGTCCCTAGTTCAATAGGAGGACTCCTGGCGGCTCCGTAGGTTAATCACTGGGCTGCTAACCACAAGGTTGTTGTTTCAAATTAACAAGCGAAGAGAGAGAAAAGGTGAGGCTATCTGGGCTGTAAAGATTTACTGTCTTGGAAACCCTATGGGACCAGCTACTCTGTCCTGTATGTTACTTTGAGTAGGAATAGACTCCATGGGAGTGAGGAGTCAAATAGGCAGCATCTAGTGGTGCAAATGACTTAGCACTTTACTACTAGCCAGCAGGTTGGATGTTTGATCCCACCCAGAGGTGCCTTGGAAATAAGATCTGGAGATCTGCTTCTATAAAATGAGAGCCTTGAAAACTCCATGGATTAGTTCTACTCTGATCACATGGGTTGCCATGAGGTGGAATCAACAACCACAAAGCAAATAGATTAGGACTAAAGAAAGGTTCTGTTTTCACTGAAGAGCTGAACAGAAAGTCAATAAAAAGCATTAAAATAGAACCAAACATTTTCAAACTATTTTATTCTTTTTTTATTTTTTTTTTTTTTTTTTTCTTTTTTTCCCCCAAACTATTTTATTCTTACCACATCCCTATGAAAGAGGGATTATTATCCCATTTTATAGATGAGGAAAGTCAAGCCACATCAAATCACATAGCTAACCAAATGGTATAGCAACAAGTCAAACCTAGGCACAATGATCAGCTCTAGTGTTTATTACCTTAACCATTATAGTATATTCAGAAATATGATGCATGTCACAAAATTTCTATCTGACTGTGTGGTATGGGGTGGGGGGGCAGCCCCCCACCATGAACTGTGGGTTTAATTAGCACAATTGTACGTTGAGAGATATATATATATAGTACATATATGTATATACTATATATATATATAAATATAGTAGTAAAGTCATCGAGAGCATGAGCGATAGAAGAGAGAGTCAAACAATGGAGTCGGACACATTACATGGTAGCATTGCTCATCTCAGCCCCGCTTGGTGGTCCACGTGGAGAGGGGGAAGGGAAGGAGGACAAGGGGAAAGGGAACAGAGGAGGAGAGGGAGCCAAGAGAGTGAGGGGGCGAGAGGAGAGAGAGGGAGAGACCAGCGTGAGAGACCTCTATTGCTAACCCAGGCTTATATACCTTTGGGGGCATGCAAGCCCACTAATTACAGGTGAAGGCAAACGTCACAGGAAGGGGTTGCACTATAGGTTAAACAGTAATAGAAGGGGGTGGTGTAGGGGCATACATGCAATAGGAAGAGGAGGGATTGGGGGTATACATGTGACAAGATGGGCGGATCCTGGGTTTAGGATGGCAACTTAACTTTGGATGTCACAGAGCCAGTTTGACCTGTTTCCTGGCTCAACTGATAGAGACTATGATCTGTAGGGTGTGAACTCCACCTACAGGAACCAAATCAATGTCTGTCCATTGTTCTTGAACAGCAGGGAGCTGTAGTCTGGCAACTAACTGCCTTCAGGGAAGATGTCTGTAAGCATCTGACCTCCCCCCACATGACTGATTTTGCAGGTTAAAGATAGCAATATTTGTTGATAAGAAAGATTGGAAAAATCCAAGACTGCCATCATACGTGAGGCATAACATTTATACTGGATGAAATTTCCTTTGCTAGATTACACCAATCCAGTCTATGAAGCTCTTTTTAAACTTACTTTTCTATCATAATGTTTTGACTACTTTATAAGCTGATTTTCCTTGATCTAGTAGTGGTTTAAAATATTTAGTAGAATTATTTGGAGGATATAGCCCTGTGACTTAACATGAGGAATTTTCCTAGAGGTTGACATTTACTCATAAGTTAACTTCTTTGAGAGTATTTGCTGAATTATCCATCAAATATCAACCTGTTATTTGTCCAGCTCCTTAGAACATATTTTTTTCAACTTTTTTTCAGACAACAGTTAATTAGGAACACTTATTTTTTAATATTTTTTTTACTCATTTAGACAGCCATTTTATCATTTGTATCCTCAAAATGAAGATGATTTCAATTTTATTTAAGTCATCATCATTCTTGTATTAACTGTACCAATCAGTGGATCTCATTTTTTTTTCACTGAATGTATCTAAAACATATTCTTTCCCTACATATCATGGTCTCAAAGATGGCATGACTTTTTTCTTGATTTTTAACAGTTTTATTGGCTTATAATTCATAAACCATACAATTAATTAGTTTAATCAAATTAAAAGTTGTACAATTATCACCACAATCAACTTTAGAACATTTTCTTCTTTCTTGTGCTCATTGTTATTAGTTGTCCATTTCCCTCCAACCTCTCCAACCATATACCAAGAAACCTTTTTTTAAAAAAAATCATTTTATTAGGGGCTCATATAACTCATCACAATCCAAACATACATCAATTGTGTAAAGCACATTTGTACATTCATTGTCCTCATCATTCTCAAAACATTTGCTCTCCCTGGCATCAGCTCCTCATTTTTTTCCCTTCCCTCCCTGCTCCCCCCTCATGAGCCCTTGATAATTTATAAATTTTATTTGTCATATCTTGCCCTGTC